CAACAGTGAAGGGAGTACCCAAAACCTTGTCTAGTTTAGACAACAGTGAAGGGAGTACCCAAAACCTTGTCTAGTTTAGACAACAGTGAAGGGAGTACCCAAAACCTTGTCTAGTTTAGACAACAGTGAAGGGAGTACCCAAAACCTTGTCTAGTTTAGACAACAGTGAAGGGAGTACCCAAAACCTTGTCTAGTTTAGACAACAGTGAAGGGAGTACCCAAAACCTTGTCTAGTTTAGACAACAGTGAAGGGAGTACCCAAAACCTTGTCTAGTTTAGACAACAGTGAAGGGAGTACCCAAAACCTTGTCTAGTTTAGACAACAGTGAAGGGAGTACCCAAAACCTTGTCTAGTTTAGACAACAGTGAAGGGAGTACCCAAAACCTTGTCTAGTTTAGACAACAGTGAAGGGAGTACCCAAAACCTTGTCTAGTTTAGACAACAGTGAAGGGAGTACCCAAAACCTTGTCTAGTTTAGACAACAGTGAAGTGAGTACCCAAAACCTTGTCTAGTTTAGACAACAGTGAAGGGAGTACCGAAAACCTTGTCTAGTTTAGACAACAGTGAAGGGAGGACCCAAAACCTTGTCTAGTTTAGTCAACAGGGAAGGGAGTACCCAAAACCTTGTCTAGTTTAGTCAACAGGGAAGGGAGTACCCAAAACCTTGTCTAGTTTAGACAACAGGGAAGGGAGTACCCAAAACCTTGTCTAGTTTAGATAACAGGGAAGGGATTATCCAAAACCTTGTCTAGTTTAGACAACAGTGAAGGGAGTACCCAAATCCTTGTCTAGTTTAGACAACAGTGAAGGGAGTACACAAAACCTTGTCTAGTTTGCTAGACAACAGGGAAGGAAATACCCAAAACCTTATCTAGTTTAGACAACAGTGAAGGGAGTACCCAAAAACTTGTCTAGTATGCTAGACAACAGGGAAGGGAGTACCCAAAACCTTGTCCAGTATACTAGACAACAGTGAAGTGAGTACCCAAAACCTTGTCTAGTTTAGACAACAGTGAAGGGAGGACACAAAACCTTGTCTAGTTTGCTAGACAACAGGGAAGGAAATACCCAAAACCTTATCTAGTTTAGACAACAGTGAAGGGAGTACCCAAAACCTTGTCTAGTTTAGACAACAGTGAAGGGAGTACACAAAACCTTGTCTAGTTTGCTAGACAACAGGGAAGGAAATACCCAAAACCTTGTCTAGTTTAGACAACAGTGAAGGGAGTACCCAAAACCTTGTCTAGTATGCTAGACAACAGGGAAGGAAGTACCCAAAACCTTGTCTAGTATACTAGACAACAGGGAAGGGAGTACCCAAACCTTGTCCAGTATGCTAGACAACAGGGAAGGGAGTACCCAAAACCTGATCCAGTACACTAGACAACAGGGAAGGGAGTACCCAAAACCTTGTCTAGTATACTAGACAACAGGGAAGGGAGTACCCAAAACCTTGTCGAGTATGCTAGACAACAGGGTAGAGAGTACCCAAAACCTGGTCCAGTATACTAGACAACAAGGAAGGGAGTACCCAAACCTTGTCCAGTATGCTAGACAACGGGGAAGGGAGTACCCACACCTTGTCCAGTATGCTGGACAACAGGGTAGAGAGTACGCAAAACCTGACCCAGTATACTAGACAACAAGGACGGGAGTACCCAAACCTAGTCCAGTATGCTAGACAACGGGGAAGGGAGTACCCAATCCTTGTCCAGTATGCTGGACAACAGGGTAGAGAATACCCAAAACCTGGTCCAGTATGCTAGACAACGGGGAAGGGAGTACCCTGTTGTCTAGTATTCTAGACAAGGTTTTGGGTGCTCCCTTCCCTGTTGTCCAGTATGCTAGACAACAGGGAAGGGAGTACCCAAACCTTGTCCAGTATACTAGACAACAGGGAAAGGAGTACCCAAACCTTGTCCAGTATACTAGAAAGTGGGTTAGTGAGTTTTAAAAACCTTGTGAGTATACAATGCAATGAACAAGGCGTTTTAGCAATATATCAATTAACATCTGTGAAACCAGTTTATTCATTTACAAAATATTTTTTAATTTTTAAAATTTATAATTTAAACAAATCTTTCTACTTACAGGGAGATTTGGACAGAGACGTGTTGAACCAAACAGCTCACCAGAAATTTCACGAGCTACAGTTGGAGCTTGGAGCTCGTGTAGAACGTCTCAAGGAAAACATGGACTATGCGTTGGTTTCCGATTGGCTGCTGTCAGTGCGCGGTTTTGAGGATAGGAGGTAGTAGTGATTGGTTCGGCTTGATTTAGAGACAGTTGAAGATTCCAACATGACCAGATCAAAGTTTTCCTGTCGATTTTACCATTAAGACAACCATTGTATTAAGATCTTTTTTTTACCTTGTACAAAAAACTTACTTTTTAGAAATGTTTTTTACATACAAGATAATTTCTTGTTTTAATAAGGAAAGTTTCTCTTAATAAGTTTTAGACCATGTAAAGTATGAATATTTTGTTACGATTTGAAGACCTCAATCAAAATAAAAAATAATTTCTCATTTTCTCCTTTAAAAACACAATATAGCACATGTAACACAATAACCTAGCTGGTCTAACAGCCTTTCGTAATTATCATACACCCTGATGCCCAAGTTTCCTCTGGCCCTGACACCAGACAGACATTTTGACAGATAGATACTTGTACCAGACATCTATCTGTCAAAATGTCAAAGTCTGGTGTCAGGGCCAGCGGAAACTCGGGCTAACTTCCCCGGTGTTACTGTCGATGAATAATTTCATTCAGAGATATTCTGAAATAAACAGAATATGAAATATTGATTTAAAAAGCAAGATAACTTACATATATATTGACACATGTGTTTCAAGTAAAAATCAATATACAAATCTCCAAGTCGCATAACTTTCGCTGTGATATCCTGAACACAAGTATCACGTTTCGTAATCTTGCAGGGTGTCTGGACACTTCTCACATACGTGATAATGTCCCGCCCGGCCAAGATGTATGGTCGCTGTACCCGCTAGCTTTCCCTTAAGCACCAAAAATATACAAGTAATTAAATATATAACACTGGACTGATATATATATTTTTTTTATATATATATGTAAATATATCAGAGTTTTGAAACTCCTGATTGCTTGACAGCGAGAAGAAATTTTGTAAAATTCTCAAATTAATGTTCACCTGCTGTGTGTTTAAATTGACATAGTTGTTTGTCAATGGTTTGCCGAATTGTGGACAATTTCAGCAAGGCATTTTGTTATCCATATGAAGAATATGTTGCTAATGTCTTGATCTCTGGACATTTCCCTACACCATCTTGGAGATTTCCCTACACCATCTCGGACATTTCCCTACACCATATCTCGGACATTTCCCTACACCATCTCGGAGATTTCCCTACACCATATCTCAGACATTTCCCTACACCATCTCGGAGATTTCCCTACACCATATCTCGGAGATTTCCCTACATCATCTCGGAGATTTTCCTACACCATCTCGGACATTTCCCTACACCATCTCGGAGATTTTCCTACACCATCTCGGACATTTCCCTACACCATCTTGGAGATTTCCCTACACCGTCTCGGAGATTTCCCTACACCATATCTCGGAGATTTCCCTACACCATCTCGGAGATTTCCCTACACCATCTCGGACATTTTCCTACACCATCTCGGAGATTTCCCTACACCATCTCGGAGATTTCCCTACACCATCTCGAACCATAACAACTCAATGCATTAAAATGTTTCGGAGGGTACGTGACATCCTTGCACTGTGTGACCTTCGACCCAAAGTTTGTCCTTTCCCTAACTGTTGTAAAAGACTAGGACATTTATCAGAGTTATCACTTTTCATCTCCTGTTGGCATAGTAACTAGGTACTGGTGGCTGTCTTATCTGTCTTCCCCATGAGGGGTGCTACCCCCTCCCCCGTAAAAAATAGATAAATAAATAAATATTGAATAAAGATAAAGAACTATTAATAAGCATAACAGTATTTTTTATACGACTTGTCGTAAGTCGTCTGTCCCTTAGACTCGTATAAACACTATCAGTGAAGAAATACACGCGCACATACATGTACCACATACATGGTACTTTGGAATGTCATAGTTTTGCAGACTAAACCTTTTGGTTAGATACAAATATAAGCATTATTATATCTTTTATTAGATTTGCTATAATTTTTTTTTTTTTTTTGTGTCTTTGAGATCATGTTCTGAACACGGCGATACAGTGTTGTCTTTCCTACGCCGTCTCTACCGGTAAATACAAAACTAGTTGAATTATTGGTTGAGTCTTCCATTGATAAAGTGAAGATAAATTTCACATTATAGAAAGTTGTTTCTTTAAATATAACAATAGATCTAGCCCAATGATAACGGTGATTTATTGTTGGTCTAGAGTTTTAGGTCTTCACGATCATGTTTTGAAGACGTTGGCACGCCGTTGTTTTTCTGTCCCCATCTCGACCGGTAAATACGAAACTTAAGAATTAGTTTTTGACATAAAATATATCTACTTTAATGATAAAGGTGATTTAAGATTGGTCTAGAATTTTAGGTCTTTCCGATCATGTTTTGAAAACGACTGCATGCCGTTGTTTTACCGACCCCCTCTCGACCGCTTAATTCCGACAGAGATGGGGTAATTTGTATTCCTCCATTGCTAAGTGGAATTTAATGTTACATTTTATATAACCTGGAAATCTGGGAGTGTCAGTACTGATAACATAGTTGTTTCTAAACCTTGTACCTAGATATTAAGGAATTCCTCATATTTTCTCCCCATTTAAATCATAAAAATTACGACTCAATGACTATTTTTTCATTTTTCTTTTCAGAATTTAATTAATGTTGTTGAGAGTATTTCAGCTTCCTTACCCTTGACCTTTAACTCTTAGGTTTTCCTTTTCCTTGTTCCTCTGTTGTAATAGACCTGGAAATTTGTCAAAATTACCCATCACTTTTCCTCCCCTGTTGTCATAGTAACCAGGGTATTTTACCTTCTTTACTCTTGACCTTTGGCCCTAAGTTTGTCTTTTTCCTTGTCCCGCTGTAACAGTCTAGGACATGTGTCAGAATTATCACTTTTCCTCCTCTGTTGTCATAGTAACTAGGTACACCAAGTGTTTATTGAATCTGGTGACACCTGGTTTTTTTCTTTATAAAAAAAAAATATATAGATCTATACCAATGATAAAGGTGATTTATGGTTGGTCTAGAGTTTTAGGTCTTTCCGATCATGTTTTGGAAACGACAGCATGCCGTTGTTTTACCGACCCCGTCTCGACCGGTAAATTCCGACAGAGATGGGGTAATTTATATTCCTCCATTGATGAATGGATTTCATTTTCACATTAAATACTTCACTTTCATTGTGAGGTAATATCAGAGTGCCAGTACCGATACCCTAGTTGGTTCCAAACCTTGTACTTAAATATTAAGGAATTCCTCATATTTTCTCCCCATTTTAATCACAATAATTACAATTCAATGGATGAACTTGTGAATTTTTCAGAATTCTTTTCATGTTATTGAGGGTATTTAATCTCCTTTATCCTTGACCTTTGGCCCTAAGTTTGTCTTTTTCTATGTTCCTGCTGTAACGGACTAGGACATGTGTCAGCTGAATGATCCCTTTTCCTCCTCTGTTGTCATAGTAACCAGGGTATTTAACATCCTTGACCTTTGGCCCTAAGTTTGTCTTTTTCTATGTTCCTGCTGTAACGTACTAGGACATGTGTCAGCTGAATGATCACTTTTCCTCCTCTGTTGTCATAGTAACCAGGTACAGATTGTTGTTATAGAATCTGATGACTTGTTAAATTCATGTAGCATGATTGGACACTTGTCATATTTGTGACCTCGTCACACACAGCTAATACATGTACTGGTGGCTGTCACATCTTCTCTGCCTTCTCTATGGGAGGTGCTATCCCCTCCCCCGTAAAAAAATCTTCAATAGATAAATATAGGTTAAAGATAATGAACTATTAATAACTAAAACTTTTTATACAATTTGTCGTAAGTCATCTGTCACTCAGACTCGTACAGTCGTCTGTCACAGACTCGTACAGTCGTCTGTCACACAGACTCTTACAGTCGTCTGTAACTCAGACTCGTACAGTCGTCTGTCACTCAGACTCGTACAGTCGTCTGTCACTCAGACTCATACAGTCGTCTGTCACTCAGACTCGTACAGCCTTCTGTCACTCAGACTCGTACAGTCGTCTGTCACAGACTCGTACAGTCGTCTGTCACACAGACTCGTACAGCCGTCTGTCACTCAGACTCATACAGTCGTCTGTCACTCAGATTCGTACAGTCGTCTGTCACTCAGACTCGTACAGCCTTCTGTCACTCAGACTCGTACAGTCGTCTGTCACTCAGACTCATACAGTCGTCTGTCACTCAGACTCGTACAGTCGTCTGTCACACAGACTCATAGAGTCGTCTGTCACACTGACTCTTACAGCCGTCTGTCACTCAGACTCGTACAGTCGTCTGTCACACAGACTCGTACAGTCGTCTGTCACACAGACTCGTACAGCCGTCTGTCACTCAGACTCATACAGTCGTCTGTCACTCAGACTCGTACAGTCGTCTGTCACTCAGACTCGTACAGTCGTCTGTCACACAGACTCGTACAGTCGTCTGTCACACAGACTCGTACAGCCGTCTGTCACTCAGACTCGTACAGTCGTCTGTCACTCAGACTCGTACAGTCGTCTGTCACTCAGACTCGTACAGTCGTCTGTCACACAGACTCGTACAGTCGTCTGTCACACAGACTCGTACAGCCGTCTGTCACTCAGACTCGTACAGTCGTCTGTCACACAGACTCGTACAGCCGTCTGTCACTCAGACTCGTACAGTCGTCTGTCACACAGACTCGTACAGTCGTCTGTCACTCAGACTCGTACAGTCGTCTGTCACACAGACTCGTACAGTCGTCTGTCACACAGACTCGTACAGTCGTCTGTCACTCAGACTCGTACAGTCGTCTGTCACTCAGACTCGTACAGTCGTCTGTCACACAGACTCGTACAGTCGTCTGTCACACAGACTCGTACAGTCGTCTGTCACTCAGACTCGTACAGTCGTCTGTCACTCAGACTCGTACAGTCGTCTGTCACACAGACTCGTGTTGACCGACTCGTACACATACTATCAGTGAAGAAATACACACGCACATGTATTTTCTTCCTACTTCGGAATGTGCATAGTTTTGCAGACTATGAACTTTTTGGATAGAGATCTGACTCGACATCACAGTGTGGTCTTCCCTGCACCATCTCTACCGGTAAATACAAAACTTGTTTGTATTAATGGTTGATTCTTCCATTGATAAAGTGAAGATCAATTTCACATTATAAAAAAAGTTTTTTTTTAAAATATAGAAATAGATATACCTTAATGATAAATGTGATTTATGGTTGGTCTAGAGTTTTGGGTCTTTCCGATCATGTTTTGAAGACGTTGGCACGCCGTTGTTTTTCCCACCCCGTCTCTACCGGTAAATACATATCCCGTTGGTATTATTGGTTGATTCCTCCATTGATAAAGTGAAGATAAATTTCACATTATATATTTTTAGGTCACTACCATAAAATAGATAAACCATAATGATAAAGGTGATTTATGGTTTGTCTAGAGTTTTGGGTCTTTCCGTTCATGTTTTGAAGACGTTTGCATGCCGTTGTTTTACCAGCCCCCTCTCTACCGGTAAATACATATCCCGTTGGTATTATTGGTTGATTCCTCCATTGATAAAGTGAAGTTACATTTTACACTATAAAAAGTTGTTTCTTTAAATCAATGATAACGTTGAGTTAAGGTTTGTCCTAGCCTCTTTCTGATCATGTTTAATGGTCATGGGACAGGTAAATACAAAACTTGTTCGATTACCGATTCCTCCATTGATGAGGAGAAGATAAACTTCAAATTAAAAATTATATTTTAATATATAATAGATCTACCTAAATGTTTAAGGTGATGTAGATGGGTCATAGAGTTTTAGTTCTTTCTGATCGCTTTTTGAAGACGTCGGCACGACATAGTTTTACCGACCCCTTCTCGACCGGTAACTTCCAGCCTACTTGGTTTTATTGTTCGATTTCTCCATTGATAAAGTAAAGTCTCTGTAACAGGCTACATCCGATACAGGCATTTTACCGGCCCCTTCTCGACTGGTATGATTGTATGATGTCAATAGGGACAAAAAAAATGAATAAATAAATGTTGTTGAAGTGTGCTGAACATCGCCTGTGGTGTTGGGTACGATGTGAATAGAGATGGAAAAAGTATAAATCAACAAATATTACATAGCGATTAAAAAGTTGTAAGGCTCTGGGCGTGTTTTAATAACCACACAATTCCTTCATTGTTCTTGATGATTTATTTCATGTCTCTCCGAAGACAGAGCCTGTAAAATATATATAAATACAATAGTAACTACTATCTCTAATAATGGACAAAGATTGTATACATTTGTTCATTATGAATTCAATAAGTTATTATATATATTATATGTATTAATTATAGAATATGTAGTTAGTCTGTCTTACCAGGGCCTCGGCTGGGTGGTATTCCTTGGCAGATTATCACTGCAGGTACCATGTATCATGATCTGCTGTTCAGCTCGGAGTGACTGGACAAGGGTTTGTGCGGTGTGAGGAAAAGTGGTTGCGCATGCGTCGTTCATATAGACCGAGCTGCATGCACAACCCCAGGTATTCCTTCTTTCACTCAGGTGTGACATAAACATACTCGCATACATGTGGCCAAGTCTATGTATTGGGTGAGCCCAGGTATAAATATACACCCAGTCCACAAAGATATAAAATTATAGCAATAAAGCGACTATAAGTCAGTACATGTGAAGTTAAATGTATTCTTGTCTTTATGAGCACACTGAATGCCGCAGCAGCTTCTTTGCCT